GTTGACCCATCCTAATCCTTTTGTACTACCATCTTCGCCCGAATAGAGCGCCCATCACCCCGTCACTATAGCTGTATATGGGGCAACTTTCGGTCCAGATACCGCGATAATGACCGGGGGTTCTATTTGGGTGAAGACGGTGGGAATGGCTTCTGTCACTTGTCTATAGGTGACGAACCGTAGATAGCAAACCAAGCACTGGGAAATAGATCACCTTCCACTCATGCAAAGGTGAATAGCATAACGAAGTATAGCAAATAGCAACAAAGTATCGTGGGTGGCAAAATCAAAGACGAATTAGGAAACGAAAGATACTAGTTTCTTGTATGAATTTGCTATGAAAAGAAAAAGGTGCATCAACGTCCTTCAAGCAAACTGTTAATACAGCTCGAATTTCAACTTTTTTTAGAGGGTGACGGCCTTGAGATATCATCATCGAACTGACCGGTCCCCTAGCTAATTCAGAATTACTGTAGTAAGTATTTCACTCATCTGCTTCCACTGGAGTTCGAACTCAGCACCAGGCTGGTCCGTATTTCACCAGTTCAGGCAGGGGTGTACCACGTACTACCAACTGAGCTAGGCCAGTTGTTCGCTCGCATTTCAACTTATACTATAGCAATTTAAATGTGGAAAAATAGTAAGCACAACAAGATAGGTGTTCACTCAGAAAGGAATGAACGCTGGGAAAATGGTTGGCAGTGGAAAAGAAAAAAATGGGAAACAGAAAAGAAGAAAAAGAAAAAGATATTGCTCTATGGTACACAAGCATCCGCCAGCCGTGGATGCACTGCGACAGCGGTGTTATGCAAAGAGGGGAAGGGGTAGAGAGAGGCAGGGAGGAGCTCTTGCACCATGCGGTATGGACTCATGCCCTGTTCATATCAACACATGCATGTTAACAAGGACTCGTACAAGGAAAGGGATTCGAACTCGTGATCTTGTCGGTACCACTCAGGTGAGTCCTCTTTTATTGTTCAGCATCCGAACTCGTGATCTGTTTATTAGTGTAAATGAATGTTTTCCCACACTCTACCCTGATTTGTTCCCCTATGAAAATTTGAAATTTTGGATCTCTCGTGACGTGGATGGTTTTGCGAGAGATCGGGCAAGTTGATCGGATACATGCATGTAGCCGTCGAGAAACAGGTGGTGAAGAGTTCTAGTCGCGAACGATAAACAGGGAAGTCCTGTGTTGTTGATTTTGTAATGACCCGTCAATACACGGACTGAAACATACAGTCGATTTCTGATTTCTGCTCATAGGATGCATGCCGTACTAAGTTCCCTGCCTGTCGATGTGTTTGCTGGGTCTGAGTGCGTGCTTGTTTGTGGGTTGCATGACTGTGTGTGGCCTGCATGTTGTCGGAGTGCCTTGAGTGTGTGTGTGACCTGTATGGGTCTGTGATGGCTGGGCAGGCCCGTGGGAGGGCCGGTACTTACCC